TTTTCTCACAGGGACACAAATTTCACCATAAATAGATCACAACAACACATTGACACTCTTTTTTTGGAGAACATAATAATAATAATAATAATAATAATAATAATAATAATTAAAATAATATAGATGATGACGATGATATTATATTAGGGCAATGTTGCAATATAGAGATATAATCTAGGATAAAATTTAGCTCAAAAAGGGCTCATTGTCTTAACACCTGCACAAAAATTTGAATACATACAGTAACTGGGTCATGCACCATTCAGAACTGAATTGAGATTGGCCTTGAAATTCAAATTCACTTCCTAAAACTGGCTGAAAATAGGGTGCAGAATCGCCATTTGAATTTGAATATTTGAATATAAAGAAGTGGAATTAAAACGGAATTAAATTCACATAAATACATATACGTAGTGTAGGTGCAGCTGTAACAATACAACTTTATATTTCAATATTTCAATATGAATTATACATAACCAACCTCCCCCCCCCCCACTCATGAAAATTTACTTGCCGGCAAAAAGTCCCGTTTGACCATGTGCCCCTATTTCAGCACCTGCTTGAAAACTCTGTGAATGTCACTATTATTCAAAGTGAAAGAATGGCACATTTGAAGTGTCACCTACAGAATAAATACTTTAACTGTCATTTTGCCTACGTGGGGCAAAAGCACTTCATACAGTCATATAAGTAACCCAGTCACAACCCTATCCATGTGACAACCCACCGACACTCACAAGAAAAGCTACTGCAGACTCACACATACAGTTAAATACGCATATGCAAGACAATGAATATATGCCCATGGAAAAGGACATAGAGGGCCGACATAAACCAAATGCATATTGTTAGAATAGGCTAAAATGTTTACACATTTTTTCTCTTACAATCATGCAATTATAAAGTATACTTCACTTACTATTACATACACAAGGTCATCATACGTATCTACCATCTAGAAAGTAAATGTGGTCAATCTGAACACTACATAGTGAAACTTGCTATGTATGCAGTCATATCCTTTCATGTGGAAGGTGAATCACCCCTTACGACCAGCAATGACAGGGAATTGTGTAACTGACTGGAGACAGTGCTTGAGACAGCGCCATCCAAGAAGCCAAGCTGCTTGTCTAAATGCTGTTTTGCGGGCAGACAAGAAACCCTCAGACAATCTCAGTAATAAACAATTCATAGAGAAATTCAGGCTGGCCTGGGGTGAAATAATGAGTCTCCTAAGTCTGTTGCTGGATAAATTGAATACAGGAACATGCCAGAATTTTGCCCTTAGTCCATTGTGCAGCCTCTGACAACTTTCTGTTTCCACGCTACCAGTGGATTCCTGCAGATTGTCAGTGATCCCCATGGTCTCAGCAAGGCTGCTGTGTCCAAATGTGTGCATAGATTGATCACATTTGTATTGCACCAAATTCCAGCAGGATGGGATGCCTTGCATGATACTAAAATTGTTTTTAATGCCATTGGAGACATACTATTCATACTCACAGTCTCTTGAATCCCATCTGCACCTGTCGAAAAGGGTTTCACCACTAGGCCTAAATGTCTACATGATATGCAACCATCAAGGACTTTTTACAGACATTGTGGCCAAGTGGGCTAGGAGGACAGATGATGCTCAAATCCAGTTTAGGAGTATTTCAGATGACAAAGTAGCGTGTGTTTGCTGGTGGATGGTTATTGGGAGACATCAGGCATCCTAGCAAATACCTGCTGACTGCAGTGTGAATCCCCAAACCGTGGCTGAGAACAGGTACAGTATAACACCACATACCAAAGAAGACACACTGCTGTAGAGTGCACTATGGGCGTGTGGAAGTTGTGATTCTGGTGCCTGAACAAGTCTGTGGGAGCTCTAAGAATTTCCCCCTAAATGTTGAGATGTTGTTATTGCTGCGTGTGCTATGCTGCACAACACTGCAGTAATTATTACTAAAATTTATTTTTGGTCACTACCAAAGTTGTTTCAAGGCTTCTTTTGAGAAGCATCCATCCTTTTCCTATGGCTGCTTGTCGTTACATTTTGAATCCATTTGTATATATTTGACAAATAGGTTAATTAGTATTGCTGTTAATTTTGTGTGTTTTCATGCGTTTTTAAATGATTCTCCAATTAGTTTTTACATTTGCATATGTCTGGTGTGACAATCAGTGATGTCACAAAACATATTTCTCCATTTAAATACAGTATGTGGATTGATGTTGCTGTTGTCAGCAGTCTGTGCTTTTCCCACGTGAAGACTGAGGAGGACCCAACAAAGAAACTACTTAAAGTTGCTTTATTAAATTTGGAATAATGACGCCATTTGGGAAACACTTGCAAATGTCACTTGTTCTTTACCTACAACCAGGGGCGTTGCTAGAGATTTTGGGCCCCATGAAAGCATATCATATTAGGCCCCCCAGTCCAAACCAATCCAGTTATTTTCCTAATTTTTTAGGGCCCCTGTCACTCAGGGGCCCTTGGAATCGTCCTAGCTTTCCTCCCCCTTACGGCGCCCCTGCCTACAACATTCGTTATTCACAGAAATCCATCTTTATCGGGTAACAAAGCCCAAACTGGTTATTGGTGATGCAAGATCAGGTCCCTTTCTTTGAGCATCTGAACTAGCTGCCAGATGATACCACTTCACAATGACCTCGACTGCAGTTCACCAGAGCAGCTGTAACAGGACCAAATTTTGCCGAACTGATTTGATAGAAAGAGCACATCCAATGATGGTACCAAGTTGAAAGTCAGTAAACTCCTCTGACCACCCATTCTGCTAGCAAATTGCTTGACTGTGCTTAATTATACACCTGTATCTGCAATAGGTATGATTTAATTAGCCAATTATTCAAATTAATTTAAGGGTCCACATACTTTTGGTCGTATGGTGTACATGTATAGGGCTGATCTGATGCATTAAATGTCATCTACATTTCTTTATTAACTGCTTAGGTTAATCTAGCATCTCATCTAAGCTAATTTTTTCAACAAATTATTATAATAAATTGGTGGCTTTCAGCTGATTCTCATTTAATTAATGAGGAAGATGCTTCCATTAAACTTCAATATAGTATATCCAAAATTTATATAAGGTGATTTCTATGTTGTGAATCATATGAGAAATAACTGGAGCTGCTGTTTCATATGTCAGCACCGAATGACAATATTTTGTGACAATGCCAGGTGACAGCTGAAGGGATGTCTGGTATGCAGCCTGTCATGCTTTCCCTACAGATGTGTAAATGATGTGGACTGATGGCAGCATTCCTTTCTTCTACAGAAATGACACCTTCAAAGATTGTCAGCTGAGGCGTCTAGCCTACCATGCACAGTGCAAAAAGTTCCCCTTCGTTAATGGACCTTACAACATCATAAGGACACACAGATGAAAACCAGAGTATTAAATATATGTGGCATATCCATCCATCATTTAAAAGGTGTTGGGGGGGGGCAGGAGCCTACCCAACGCAGCATAGCGCACCAAGCAGAGAACTGCCTTAGATATTACACACATGCACACACTCACAATCACATCATAATTAGGAGCAAATTAGGAACTTCAATCTGCATTTCTTTGGACCAGAAGAGAAAACTAGAGTATACACAGGAAACCCAGCCTGGAGTATCTGAGGACTAATTGTTTTGTTACTGTTTTGTTAAGTGTATATTAAAAATGAAATGTGACAAAGATAAAAAAAGTCCATTTTCTTATATTAATACGAGAAGCAAAACTTTTCTTAGTTTAAAAAAAAACAAGTAGAAAAACAAGGTAGAGGAACTATTTATGTTTAAACAAAGCAATTTAAACAATCTCCCCACTGATGACTTAAAAAGTCACATTCATCAGTTTTTATTTAAAATCAGTTTACCCCATTTGTGAAATTGCTGCTGTAGATAAAGCGGATAAAAGTATGTGGATTTATGGTGGCTGCCAAATAACACATCTGCAGCCATTAAATTTTTCCCTCCATCAGTCCACCAAATATAAGGAAATTGTGTGAACTGGGCACAGTGGATCCACATAAATAATACATTATATTCAAATGTGTTTTTTACTTCATGAAAATGAAGGATAATGCATGCTACTCTCACACTGGTAATGTATATGATGAACTCCCTTCGAAGTATTGAGTAACCTTTCACTGCTGAATGGAATCTCATCAGTAATACTCGTTCAGTATGGAACCCTTCATGGCTTTTCTACAAAAGTGCAAAGGACGAGGGTGAAGGGCCACAAAATCCACTTTGCTGGTGCATTCCTGAAAGGTTCTGATAGCTAACATTCAGCTCTCTCATAGACAATTAAATGGAAATGTACTGTAGACTTCGATGGACAAAGCCCTGTGGTGCATTGCTCTATCCTTGTTTTTTTTTTTTTTAGTCTTGGAGTTTTTATGTGAATGACCGTATGACATAGCTCCATATGATGTAAGTTTAAGTTTGAGAAAATCAATGGTAGACATGGTTATATTGACTTACTGGTCTGAAACACCAACATCTTCTATCTATACAACCTCTGGTTTTGTTTTCATTTAAATTTATCAAAGTCTGAGAAATCAATTACACACCAGAACATCACAGAAAATCTGACGGAGTGTTGATCCATGGACTGCAAAATGCTCGGACGGTTACTTGAACAGAATATCTCTAAATCATTCATACATTATTACAAATCTGTAGGAAAGACATTCAGCAGGGGCTCCTTAGAGCACCAAGGCTCCTATGAAGACCCAATCCCAGCCTATAAGCCTATTAAACAATAAAACACATCCCCGTCCTGTTCTCTTCAATCTACCCATTAAAATTTGGAAAATTCTGCAGAGCTGCATTATTTATGAAGGGCATCTACCCACAGATACTTGATGCAAATGATATGTCTAATGGTCAATACCGACAGAGCACAGAATCATCAGCTACTCTGTGGTACATTATTTATGACAATTGAATCTGAAGGCTTAAAACCTGAGTAAAATTATCAGGAAAAAAATGTTCTTACCTCCAACATGGACCCATGATAATAGCATTTTCCTGAAAAATATGAGGAATATCATTAGTATAAACAAAAATGGCTTAAAGAGCATACTAAGGCTAGGTAGAGGACATTATCTCATACTTATTGGTATTAATAAATGAATATATATAGGTATTCAATTATAATTGAATATATTATGTTCAGTTTTTAAGTTCATGAACTTTTCCAACTACCAAAGTTCTTTATTATTTAGGCCTACTTTTGTCATTTCTAATAGACAGAATGACACATTTCTAACTGAGCTGACATTGCCTGCAATTTCTTCTGCTTATCCCTTTGCCATTTGCCATAAAATTCAATATACAATAATTAGTACAGAGTGTGATTTGGCCTGAAGGGTCTGGATATACAGTCCCCTCCAAAAGTACTGGATCGGTGAAGCTAGTTCCTTTATTTTTGCTCTACACTGAAAACATTGGGGTCTCAAATCAAAAGATGAATATGAGACAAGAGATCAGTAATTCAGCATTTACTTTCAGGTACTTACATCTAACTATGTTAAACAACTTAGAAGATAACACCTTTTGTTTGAACCCAACCATTTTTCAAGTGAGCAAAATTATCGGAAAATGTGACTGACAGGTGTTTTATGTTGCACAGGTGTGTCCAATTATACTGACTCTTCAAACAATTACAGTAATAGCGCAAAATGTCTACTGTCAGTTTCAGCTTTGGGTTTTCCCTGTGCAGACTGCATTCATAGTTAAAAAGGTGTAACCAACATGAAGACCAGAGAGCTGTCTATGGAAGAAAAGCAAACAATTTTGAAGGTGGGAGGAGGTGGAAAATCCATCAGAGCCATTGCACGGACATTGAGCATAGCCTCTACAACTATTTGGAATGTCCCAAAGGGGAAAGAAATCACTAGTGTACTGGGTAACAGACGTCAAACCGGCACACGAAGGAAAACATCAGCAGTGGATGACAGAAACATTGTGAAAACTGTAAAGAAAACCCCTAAAACAACTGTCAGAGACATCACCGACAGCCTGCAGAGGGCAGGAGTGAAGGTAACACAATCCACCATTAACAGAAGACTTCAGGAACAAGAGTACAGAGGCTGCACTAGAAGATGCAAATGACATACTAGCATTAAGAATAGGAAGGCCAGACTGGAATTTGCCAAAAGGTACGGAGACAAGACTCAAGCATTCTGGGACAAAGTTTTATGGACTGATGAGACAAATATTAACTTTTACCAAAGTGATAAAAATGCTAAAACGTGGAGAAAGAAAGGATCTTCTCATGATCCCAAACACACAAGCTCTTCTGTGAAACACGGTAATGTCATGGCTTGTGCTTGCATGGATTCTTCTGGGACTGATGATGTATCACATGAGGCCAGCAGCAAAATGAACTCAGAAGTGTACAGAAACATTCTGTCTGCCAATTTAAAGAGAGATGCAACCAAACTGATTGGGAGATCCTTCGTCATGCAGCAAGACAACAGCCTAAAACACACTGCCAGAACAACCAAGGAGTCAATCTCCAGACCTAAACCCTTGAAAATTGTTTTCAAATTGGACTGAAGGGAGAAACCCCCCCCCCCCCCCCCCCAAAAAAAAAAAAAACTCAAAGAGGCTGCGAAAGCCTGGAAAAGCATCACAAATGAAGAATGCAAACGTTTGGTGATGTCAGTAGGTCACCGATTTGATGCAATTTTTTGCAAGGAAAGGATTTGCAGCTAAATATTAAGTATTGTTCACTTTAATCTATCTACAATACTTTTCCTCACCTAAAAATTCGGTGTTCCATTACAAACAAGGATAAAGTCGTTTAACAGATCTTGATGTAAAAACCTGAAAATAAAAGCTGAATTACTGATCTCTTGTCTCATCTTTTGATGTCAAACCCAAATGTTTTCCGCGTACAGCAAAAATAGAGGAATTAGCCTCACTGTTCCAATACTTTTGGAGGGGACTGTATAAGACATTCAAGGGAGTATTCATCATTCTGGGACCAAAATATACAGACCTCTATGAAATAATTACATGTTAGATTCATTAATTAAAAATACCAATCAACAATTCACATTCTTTCTCTGAACCAAAACCAAAGGAGTACATTTCTAATCTTAAATATAAACCTAGCTTTTATGAATATATGTGTGTTATATTTTGAATTTACAGCATCCCCACTTCCTAATATTATATAACTGCCATTGGATCTTAGGGCTCTACACTGCACGTTCTGTTTCCTCTTACTCTTACACTACATGTTGAATTTAACTGTAGGCAATTGAATTAATGCCTTTTATACCAGTGATTCTCAACTTGGTCTTCTAGGACCCCAAGACAGTCCTCGTTTTTGCTGCCTCCAGGGAGCAAAACCATGGACTGTCAGGCAGGAAGCTGGGAGAGCAACAATGTGGACCGTCTGGGGCTCGGCGAGGACTCATTTGAGAAACATTGTTTTATACAACACATTATAAAACAGTGTTTTAAGGTTTATGTAGTTTGTCTTTTTACAGCTTGTCTCTTGTAAGAGTATTTCTGGTATAAGAAGTGCAAAACGATATACAAAAGCAGGTAAATATGTGTATTTACCAATGAAACAGAAAACTAATGCCTTTGAGACATTACTGTTTTTTGCTGTATGCAGTCAATGGAAGAAGAGCATATTCAATTGACAATCATGTTTTCCACAACGGATTTATTGTGACATGTCCACTTTCTCTTATTTAAAGCAAAACAAACTGTTCACGCAAGAGATGGTTCAGAGCAGCATTTACTGACTTTATATTTGGTCTAAAAATGGGACGTTACCTTGTGGACCCCAGCATTAATCTCAACAAGAGAACAGGAATTAAATATACTAAACGGCGTCCTTATATGCATATAAAGCTATATTGATGTACAGGTATATGTACAACTCTACACAATGATGCTGCAACTGGTACTACTAGGTAATACAGCATTTCAATGTGGAAGCATCTTTAGTGTTGCAAATATTATAATATTTACAATGACATGATAATCAAAACTAAGGAAAACAGTGTGCGTATGTTATGATACGGAATATCACGATCTTTGGATTTATGACGATGGAAACGTATTTTAAAATGGTAGTTAGTAGACAGTATCATGACGTAAATTACCTCTAAAGAATATGTATTTATTTTAATGCGCAACTGCAATGTTTGTATTGATCTTACATTTGCTAATTTGTTTGCAGGAGTTATAACAGCAATTCTACGCGAAGTCGAATTAAACCAAAATTAGGCTAATGTTGCAGGTTTTCTCAACATTCATGAAAATCGTTCAAATTAAATGAATTATCATGTTTTAATTTATATACTTTTTAAAGCAGCGTTTTAATAAATTGACTCTTAACTACAAACCCTCCATTTGTTGTTAAGAGTTAATCCATGATAAAAAATAGACAGATAGCTTAGTGATATAATACTAACCAGCAGTATCTCGGAGATAGATGAAAATCCCAACCGCAGCAATAAAAATAATCCGTAGATTTCCAAAGTCCATGCTTTCCACGGGGGATAAAAAACCGACTGAGGAGGAAAATATATATTTCTAGAGCAAAGCTAAATTGAAATTAATCTCAGGCATATTCAGCACCATTGCCCAAAGAATTAACATGCCGTTCGTTTTAGGATATTTATAAATATTGTAAACTTCAGAACTATTGTGTTGGAATTAGACTACGAGCAATAACGTTGCTGTCGCGAATCAAGTCACTTGTGATCTACAGCGCAACTTCCATGCTGGAAAAAAATGCGTTTTTTCAAGTCAAAGACAACGCCAATTTTTAAATTTGTTATATTAGTCCTAAATATATTGCAGCTGAAATATTTTCAAGGAATACAGTTCATTTCACTGCTGGCGTCGTGGTCAGTCGGCTTGTTCTTCTATAACAAACAGAAGCGATTGATGAGACGCACTGCCCATTGCACTTAGGGAGATCGCAGTTTTAAGTTTTCATCATGCCAGTTTGTTTTAAGTACAAAATACCGGAGACTATGAAACAACTCGTATACTTCCCTTGTACCGCAAATCACGACTGGGCGGGTTTAGCTGCTCTGTACCTAGACGCCTCTTGCGTGTCCCTTAAAGCTGTCCAGTTTCAATTTCGGGGAAATAGGAATCACAAAACACCGGAGGAGACGTTGGTATAAAACAAGATAAATGAACAGGGAATATTGCTGACACAACAACAATAGCCATCAGATACACCAGGAATAGAATCACACAGATGCATTTTTTGTTTTCTTCCATCAAGCTGATCTGTCTTTGTTTCTCACTAACCATCTCTCACCAATGTCTGCTTAAACGGAATGTTGCAATAAGCACAACTAAGATATACACTCTTCATTCTTTGAAAAGTGTCATTATGTCTCATTATGATTTAATTCATATAATTTTCTATATAATCCTTTGTAATCCTGGTACAGTATGAATCAAAAGAAACAGTATTGACCTGCAACCTCTTACAGTAGTTCATAGATCAGCAGCAGGTCTGTCTTTGCCCTCTAAGGAGATACCAAGAAACCGATCTGATGAAAGCCATCACAAATAGAAGTGCAAGCCACAGATATTGTTGTTTAAATGTAAATGGGATATTCATAGATGCACTGAAGTAGAGGCTCAGATCCAACAAGACAGCAATGCAATACATTGCATCCATGACTGCGATTGCAGTTTTTGTTTATTTTGTGCAAGAATGGGTGTAAACACACTTGATCTGGGAGGCCTGCTGATCCAGTGGGGACTTTTGTTAAAGATGTCAATAGACTGAATGAAGTACTTATGCTTTGATATAGAAAGCAAAATGAGAATAGGCACATATGGTCACACAAAGCTATATGGGCAACTGAGATCTGGACCCAATACACATGCTTCAAACCTATATGAAACCAAACTGTGGATGAACAGCTATTCCTAACTGAAGCACATTGCTGATTTGCCCAGTAATTGATAAGCAATCCAGGCAAATTCAGAGTCAAGTTTTGGCTGGCTGCAGATGTTGAGTTAGAATAATAATAGGCCTCCATCAAAGACTTGGTGGGAGTCTGGTTACTGAGCTAATGGAACCTAGTATAGGGAAGGGGATACGTGTAATATCGTAAACTCATTGTTTCTCCCTTAGCCAAATACCGAACTGGAAAAGAATACGGTCCTAAATATAAGCCAAAACAAGGATGAGCTGCCACAAATTGTGACAGACACAAATGAAGCATGACAAATACTGACGCATGACAGCTGTACTGTCGCAGTACTCAGGTACGAGCCACAAAGAATGCACTGCTGTTCAGTATGCAGCCAAAACTGTCTGTCTGTGGATGGGGGAAGAGGAACCCTAAAAGTATGGACTTCTGCAGAGTCCTACAATATTCTAAGTGGACAATGTGGATGTAAATATTCTATGAGGGCAGCAGGTAATTAGCCAGTAATTTAATTCTGAGGCCTCTGAGGTAAAGGATAAAAGTCAGAGGACGCAAATGATCAGTTTTTAATATTTCTTCCAGATTTGTTCTGATGTACACTGCCAGTCAAATGTTTTTGCACACCACAGGTTTTTGCCACTTTTCCATTAATTTCATAAACTGCAGACTTTATATTCTTGTTAAGCATTGGAAAGTTGAGTGAACAACTATAAATGATTATATGTCACATAAAACAAGTTATCTTTATAACATGGAAAGAGTATGTAACAGTGTATGTCTGACATCCTATTAGCTGGTTGTTTGGTGATCACATAGTCAAATTTTATGCTGTCATTTAACTTTATATGCAGTAGTTAACTGTTTCATGGTATGAGCAGTGTTTAATGTCCCTTGTAGAAAAGAATGCCTTGAATTTTCTCTGCTGTTATAACTGTGAAGGAAGTCCTTTGATGAATCAAAGATATGTAATTTTCTTGATAATATAGGTATTCAAATGGTAAACATACTATTTGAAAGCAAACTTTTGACTGGTAGTGTATGGAAAACACATCGCATTAAAGTAAAGGAAATGGCTAATGTGAGGATTGCCATCTAGTGTTCAAAAGTATGATTGGCCATCAAATGGCTTTTATGCAGTGGATTAGGCAAAATATTGAAAACAATTTAAAAAATACGGTAAATTGCGGCTATGATTCAGTATACTCAATCTAAATGCAGAACACTAACGATGAGTACTAATGAGTACTACTTAAGCTATGTGGAATATGGCACTAAGTCAAGGTGATAAGCATTTTTTTTAAATATTTCCAAAGCACAATAATGTGATTTTCAAATATATTTTAATATATTATACAGTTTACATGACTTAAGCTTAAGGAAATGACAGACATTGAATGGATCATCAGAGTTCAAAAGATAAGACGGCATGTGACATATTAGAAGCAATGTGTGGCTCTCTGGGTTAAGGCTGAGAAGGTGGCTGGACCAAACCCCAGGGCCAGTGGAGTGATGCTGTAGTTGGGTCTTGAGCAAGGCCCCTAAGCAGTAACTCCATGGGTGCTGGGTACTGGCTGGCCTTGAGCTATGCCCCGCTGTTTTCTATTATATAAGTTAATATGAAGAGGACCAGACTGTGATAAATGTACAATGTAGCAATCATTAGCAATGCAATTTTGAGAGCAATTTTCAAAATTGCATATTTATTACAATTGTGGTGGTTAATGGTCTAAGGGACAAGTCATTGTCAAAGCTTTTTCTCTGACAGTACATCTGAGTATACAACCCTTCTTGCACTGACTTTTTTAGGAGATGTACATTTCTCCTCTATATGAATCGGAAGTGGTAGTGTTGCCATTTGCTGTAAACAAATAATTGCATATTGTCAGGTCAGCAGTAAATAACTTGCATTTATTACGGAATAATAATCTCAGCAGAAAATCCTTTTGACTCTCAAAGAAAATACTTAAAATTCATCATTTTTATAATACAAGTAAGAGCGGAGCAGTGTGTAGCTCAGTGGGCTAAACCTGTGTGCCTGTAATCAGAAGGTTGCTGGGTCAAACCCAGTCTCAGCACATCTGTGGGTCGTTGAACAAGGCCCTTAACCTCTAGCTCTCTGGGTGCCGCTACAGGTGGCTGCCCTTCACAGACAACTTACTCTACAAACTAGAGGGAGGTGTAAAGACGATTTCCCCATGGTAATCAATAAAGTATCAATTATTATTAATAGATGTGATGTTTAAGTCATGGCACGGTGTCTCAGTGGATAGCACTGCTTTTCTTTAATATTGTACGTTTATGTGCACCGCAACGAAGTAGCGTGTTATACTCAGCATGTGTCACGAACTCAGGAGTTTCTGTCACGGTGGCACAGCATGATGCAGGCAGGAAAGATGTGGGTGATCCACTGGCAGCTCCACAGGAACACAGGGTTTTATTACAGGAACAGAAAACACTGGGAATACTACAAATACAGAAAGACCACGAGAGGTCAAAACTAAAAAAGAGGTACAAAGTAACTAACAGAACAGAATAATCTACAAAGGGAAACTAGCTACACAGAGAACAGGCAGGGAATCAAAAATAGTGACACCACCTTCAGCAAAAACACTGCCAAAGGACTCCCTCTAGGAACAGAGCAAGATCAGGAACTTAAATACAGAAGGCTAACAAGATAACGCAGGACAGGTGAGAACAATTAACAAAGGCTGGCAAAACAGGCAACAAGTGAAATGAACAATTAAATCAAATAACTATGAGATCAACAGGGAAACTAAGAAACTGACAGAAAAACAAGGAAACAGATCTAACACTGGGAAAATAATGAAGGCAGGTAAAACAAAACCAAGGCGTGCACAAACCACAAAATCACAGAAACTAGAAAAACTGATACAAATGAAACACTAAGGAACAAAATCTACTAAAGACAAAAACAGAGGAGGCAGGATTTGAACACACAATTGAGAGGTATATAAGAGCCACACACTCAGCTCATTGAGCCATGCGGCAGCCTGGGAAGCACCAGAAACACAATGGGGAGAACAGGATGGCCAGCGACATCTGCTGGCCAAACAGAGAGGAGCCATGAAAGGCAGGGACAGGAGTGCTGACCCTAACAGCATGTTGGACAAAATATTTTTCATTAAGGATTTTTTTCTATTAACAATGGATTTTATTGTTATAACTCCATTTACAATCATAATAATACATGAATGAGTTGAAAACAAAACCAAGTAGAATTTTCTGTATTTAATGTGGTTCAAACATCAGATTTGTTAAAGTGTAATAGACAAGTATAAGGCAAAAAAGTACTAAATAATTATTAACATCAATAACAATGACAACAACAAGAACAACAATAATAATTATTATTAATAACATCACAGTGTTACGTCACACTACTTAATATTGCGGGTATTTGTTCACAAGATAATTGCTTGTTTTAATGTGTCTATTTGTTGATTTATTGAATGATTTATATAATCTATAATGCTTCAATCATTTTATTGTTACATATTAGACAAGATTTATTTATTTTTTTGTAGATGTCAGATACTGTCGTGACTCAAATGCATATCCACACCTGTCTGTTTATGCCTATAGGGACTGCTGCCCCTGGCCTCTGATTCCTGTATTGGTTAAACATGAATACAGCCATTACAAGAGAGTTTACATGCCCTATTTCGATCCTTGATTCAGGCTCATCAGTTATAACTACTACTGCGTTGTACAGTAAGTGTAATACCACATGTGCTGTTTTTAAAGTTTGGATGCACTTTTGCGAGATCTTGCAAAGGTGACATGGACTTTTAACGAGATCCCGCAAAACCGTATGCGTTTTCGCGAGATCGCCGTATACTATTACTTACCCATTATTAATAAAGTGAGTTCGGGTTTAAACCTTAAGGTCTGGCACCGCGGTAAAGTAAGCTTTTTCAGTTTTCCGACAAATATCTTTCAACAAAAAAGCAACACTCATTTGGTTTTCAGATTTCTTTACGGGTGAATTGTAATTATTAATATTTCATGTTTGTGTGTGCACTTCATGATCAATAGGTAGCTTACAGTAGCTGTCTTGCTTACAGCCA